ATTCCTTCAGTGAACCAATCATTTTGGACAGAGAGAAACTCTAACATAGCCCTAGTTATATACCATCAGGCAAGAATTTTCAGATGCTCAATGAAGATTTTAGCATACAAATCTCCAGCCATCTAGAGCTGGTGCCTTTGCCATCAGCATCCCTTGTGGACACTGGTTCTAGTCCTGGTTGCTCTCTTTCCCATCCAGCTCCCTGCTAATGGTACGGGAAAGCAATGGAGGACAGCTCAATGCCTTGGGTCCTTGAACCCACATGGAAGACCCAGAAGCAGCTCCTGGCTCCCAGAAAAGGTCAGCTCCAGCCCATGTGAGGAATGAGCCAGCAGATGGAAGAACCCCCACCCCCTTCTGCCTCTCTCTCTTTCTTTCTCTGTGTGTTTTTACTTTTCTGTAAAATATGCCTTTCAGGCAAAAATAAATAAACCTTAGAAAAATACCCAGACATCTCATACTCATGTTTTCCAAGCATATTTTATCATTCTGCTGAAACCCATCAGTTTTACTCCTGTATTTCCAGGTTCTGGCTTACAGTATCTTTATACACATTCTGATTGAAGCCAGAAATCCAAGACACAACTGATATATCTGTCCACTGCTCCCTGCACCTAATATAGCAATTCTTTTTCCAAATATCCCTTGTTCATGGCCCCTTATTCTGCCTTTCTACAAATGTAACCTTTGTTCTGATCGTCATCATTAACTACATGAAGGTACAGCTCCTTTCTGATAGATGTATCCACCTTTAGTACTATTCTTGCTGTTTTCACTCAATAGGCCATTGATGACCATTGACTGTGTTCCATACACAAATGGGTATGGAGGGTACATGAGCAAGCAATCATTCTTTTGGTGGATGTAAATAAGACCAGAAAAAAAAAGAGAACAAGAAAAATCTAAGTGCTATGAAGAAAATTAACCAAGGATAACTTTTCTCAGGGAGGAGGACCTTGGGTCTCAGGCAACACTTAAGTTGAAGCCTAAAATTAAAAACAAACAAAAAAACAAAAAACAAGAGCTAAATAGAGAATATATGGGGAAGTATGTCAAACAGAAGGTAGCGGATGGGATGTTAATTCTAAAGGTACTATGTATTCAAAAACACAGAGGAAGGAAAAGACTTAGTCTTGTAGGGAATAAAAAAGAACACTGTGGCTAGCTAGAGTTCTATGAGGAGAGACAAGTGGAGAAAGAGACACACGCTCACCAGAGTCCACAAGGCTTTCAAGGCCTCTCTTCCACCTGAGTGTCTAACAGATCCTGCTGCCCTCAAAAGCACATCACAGCAATGCCTGTCAAATTCTCACTGCTGACATGATCAGGTACTCTGTAACAACATTCAGGGGCTCTTCTGGTCAGGATGTTGCTTGGATTTCTAAGCCCTGTATCTTCAAACAACCTTCTACACACTCCAGCTGTACCTCCTCTTCATGGGGATTATTTCACGCTCTTTCCTCACACGGCAAAACTCTGTCTCTGATGATCAGCATTCTGTCCTCTAAGAGTCAACTTAAACTCTAAACAGTCAAGAGATAGCACCTTCCACTGCCATCCTGGGTTGTTTAAATATTTGCCCCACCCTGTTGTATGCTTGTGGAAATGTCAGAGTCTACTTTTGAATCATATAGTTATGGTGCCTGATACAGAGACAGCACTCACTATAAGAAGGAACACAGGGAAGGAAGGAAAGGAAGCAAGAAGGAGGCAGGCAGCTGGTTGTGTCCAAGTGTACTAAAATGTAAATAAAGACATTTTGATTCCCTCTAAAGTTTAGTTAATATTTATTTTGAAATAAAATTAAACATTTTAACATTTTAAACAATAGGCATTTGAATATATGACTTCAACATGTGCTATGTTAGCTCAATTAGTTGTGAAAATTACTTATTAGTCAAATTCCTAGCAAAGCAAGGCTACATTATGTAGAGAAATAACCTCAGGCTCTGCTACTTGCTATCTGGAAATGGCATTTCAATGAGGAAAAATAGCATAAACAGATATACTACATAGCAATAGGCAATATAGATGAAGGAATGAATAAGTATAATAAACATTTTTGTCCAAAAAAAAGGAATATTCTCATCTGCAGTTTAACATTTTAGCTTCTTGTGTGTTTGGGAAGGTAAGTTAATGACAACAGTCCCACCTACTGACAAAGATGAATATTATGACCAGAAAGTTGAAAAACAGCCTCTGACCTGTGGTCACTTCACCATGTCTGCTATGCTATGAGGATTTGCCTTGCTGTCAGCTGGCATTCCCACTCAGATATCTCTGCAGCCCCCTCACATTAAAATAAACATTTTAGGCCAACATCTGCATAGGGGATTCTTTCAACAAGATGATAACACAAGGCCAAGTGTATTCCATTCAAGACCAGACATGGATTCTGAGAGAAATATAACAACTGATGGAGTCTGGGCTACTACTGCCTTTCAAATGCCAATGCCAGCAAGTGATTTTAGATGACAATTAACCTCTGGTCATATTACCATTTTCAACTGAAATACAGTGCTAACCAAAGAAATGGAATGAACATGACTTTTCAGACTTTGGAAGCCAACTCTCTAATGGATAACCAAGGTAGGTGAAGAAAAAGAAAGAACTAAAATAGTTCCCATAACACCTACCTAGAACTCTGTGATGCTACAATCGGGATTTCCAACATGGAGGTGAAACTTCACTTCTAATTCAGGTAATTGTGTTTTCACCTTCAGTAGATTATTGGAAAGGTTTGGATAAACTAATATCTTACTCACCTAACCACAAACAATTCTATAAAGCGAGAATGCCATGAGAATAGTTTTATGGTTCCAAGTTGGTAAACTCAAACATCAGGTGGCTGCAATGACTCAATCATGGGGCAATATGACATTGGGCAGCAGGCTGTGCCTAAGCTGAACTGACTAGAGTCGAAGGCAATCTTACACTGTGAAAACTCACGCTCGTAACATGATACACCATGGTGCTGAAATCAAGCACACGTGGCTTTCACCGGACTCCTGAAGAGTACTATTTAGGATGTAACTTTCACTCATACTGTACTTGAAGAATCCGTTTCTAATTTCTATGACTGTGACCCGAAAGTTCCTTTAAAAGACTATAATGCACTCTGTAGAGGTTTGTTTTCCATTTTTCTCTTTGTGCTAGCATCACATTTCCTGTATGAATGTCCCAGAGACTCAGTTCATTTAGCTCTAGCTTGAGATTCCTTTTGATATATGAAAGAATTCCATTCCAACTTCAATGTAGGCATTTTTAGCTACCATTTGCCCAAACTCAAATCAATCATTATAACATTTTCAGAGGTTTACTATTCCTGGGTATGCATTCAGTTGTACTGAATTTCAAATTAGAAAAAAAAAATAGACAACCTTTTTAAATACTTGGTGACTGTCACCTAATTTGGAATATTTTAAGGGTTTCTTTGTTAGTATAAAACATTTTTGCAATACATCAGAATTTTAAACCCACTAACAAAGGCTCCCTTGGAGGAAAAGTAGTGAAAGGATCTTAAATGTCTATTAGTACAGGACCTAAAGGAATACTCTAAGTAACAGAGAAAATAACTGAGCAGCAAGCACTGAAACCTAAAGGGCAGTGTAGTTTCTGAGTTTTTACACAGGCAGAGTCATGCTAAACTATTGAAATCATCTAAGGGATCATATTACCACCCAGAAAATATTGTAAGCAACATGTCACAATAAAGATTCACATTTAACTGATTACTCAGGCAAGTATTGCAGGATACAGATTTAAGATTTTTTTTTAATTTATTTTTATTGGAAAGGTGGATATATAGAGAGGAGGAGAGACAGAGAGAAAGATCTTCTGTCTCACGATTCATTCCCCAAGCAGCCGCAACGGCTGGAGCTGAGCCAATCCGAAGCCAAGGAGCCAGGAGCTCTTCCGGGTCTCCCACACGGGTGCAGGGTCCCAAGGCCTTGGGCTGTCCTTGACTGCTTTCCCAGGCCACAGGCAAAAAGCTGGATAGGAAAAGGGCCTGCCAGGATTAGAACTGGTGCCCATATGGTATCCCGTGCACGTTCAAGGCGAGGACTTTAGCCACTAGGCCAATGTGCTGGGCCCCATATTAAAAAAAAATGACTTTTGCTTTACTTCTCCAGAAAGAACACTATATACATGTTTCTTCACTTTCATACTTTGCATTTAAAACTGAGCTAGCAAAAACCTTAGTAGAAATAAGGGCACTTAAAAAGTAAGGGATTGAAATCAGTGACATAACCAACCAACTGATGAAAGATAGTATTTGTGTATGAAAATATTTCAGGTAATGAAAAGAAATGAGGCATCAGTATATCATTATTTTGCTAACTTCTTATGAAAGAATGAATCCAAGCAAAGAATATCAGATGCATTTGCTAACAGAACATACACTGCATGTAAAAAGAACCTTTTCCCAACTCAGATATAAGTCTCTAGGTCAAATGAACAGTTAACAGGAAATATGAGACAGAGAAAGATGACAAATTAAAAACATGGGAGTGTAATCATTTGTGAGAAATAATACAGGCAGAGCAACTTGGTTTCTTTCAGCAACCAAATCACAAAGGAAAAAAAAAAGACAGAGGAAGAAACCTTTAGATTAAAATAAACTTGAGAGACAGCTAACACATTGTACAGAGTGATTGACTGAATTGTTGTATCAGGAAACTCAGAACTACTCAGATGATGATACAGAGAAATCCCTGCTAATGTGTCCAAAGGCTTGATGATGCCATTGGACTCATGCTTGGAACAAAACCCTTCTCTTTTAACAGTAGTACTAACATATTTAACAGTTAGGTTGGGATGTGCCTGAGATTTGCTTTGCAATAATCTAGCTAGTGACAGGCGTGCTGTAGATGGAACAAAATGCTTTCATAGGCACATATGCAGCGCATGGAATTCATTTTTGCATTCTAATTTTGTATGTGGTTGAAATTTTTCACAATAAAATGCTTAAATGTTTTTTGGAGGTTGGAAAAACTTACCATGTTGGATATCCTTCATTTCTAAATGTAAACTGGATATCAAGATTCCCACAGTTTGAGACCGCTTCCCATCCAATAACTTGATGATCTAGAATTAAAAAAAAATACATGTTTAAAAGAACACATAATCTTTTACAACACATAGAGAAATCGTCAGTAATTTTATATACATTGGTCAATGAAGTGAAGAGTATAAGTATTCTTTACAATATACTTTTTGAAAAATAATTTGGCCATTATCTTACAAGTTTTATAAAAGAAAGGAAAAACACAACAAAAAATTCCATCAATCTAATCCAAATACAAAAAAATCATAATACTTTACTCAGGTCAAATATATTCTAGCTAAGCTGCTGTGACAACACTATGGATATCAGTAAGTCCAGCCTTATCATTTATCACTGTATTATTTTTCCAAAAAAATTATTTTTTATTTTTATTGGAAAGTCAGATCTACAGAAGGAAAGATAGAAAGATCCTCCATCCGCTGGTTCACTCCCCAAGTGACCACATGGCTGGAGCTGAGCTGATTCCAGCTTCTTTTGGGGAAGGTCAGTGCTCCAAGGCTTTGGGCCATCCTCTATTGCTTTCCGAGGCCACAAGCAGGAAGCTGGATGGGAAGTGGAGCAGCCAGGACATGAACTGGTGCCCATATGGGATCCTGGTGGATGCAAGGTGAGGACATAAGGACCAGGCTAACCTGCCAGATCAAAATTATTACTTAACTCACTTCAAAGTTCCTGGTCTTTTTTCACGATATCATCTCTAGAATGAATGGTTTAAGAAAAAGAACACTCTGACTCTGAGATTACCATTTGTAGGCAAATACACCCTTGGTAAAGTGACAACCTTTAGGAATTTGACTTCATCCTGAAATATGCTTAATATTAGTATAATTATATTAGATTAATATACTTATCTTAGAAACTGAATGTTCTAATATATTGGAAACATTTAAAACAGGCATATGATAGGAATTTAAAGTTCATGGAAAGCTTTTATTTTGTTTTCACTCCATATTCTGCAAATGTTTTTGAACCTCCTTTATCTATTTCTTATTTAAATGAACGTTCTCAGTTTCAGAATATTAGATTGTTATCCTATTTGTGGCACTATTTAATATAAACAATATTTATATGTAAATCTTTAAAGATAAATTTATTTTCAATTAAGGAGACAGAGTATCTTCTATCCTCTGAGTCACTTCCCAGATGGCTGCAACAGCCAGGGCTAGCCCAGGCTGAAGCCAGTTACTTCATGCAAGACTTCCATGTAGGTACAGGAATCCAAGCACTTGGGCCGTCTCTGGCTGCTTTTCCCAGGCCATCAGCAGGAAGCTGAATTAGAAGTGGAGCAATCCAGGTACAAACAGGAACTTATATGGGATGCTGGCATTGCAGAAAGCAACTTTGTTTGCAATGACACAATACTAGCCCCATAAGTCTTTAATGCCTGAAATTATTTTTATAATACATGTATATCAAAATGTGTACAGTCTTTTTAGAAACTTTAGAAAATATCTCAATGCCAGTACTCAGTCTGTGTAAATATTCTATGGAAAATTACAAAATTTTATGTTTCACTAAATCAAGGAAACAAAATAAGCTCCTAAAAACATGTTACAGAGTGGTCACCAAGGATCAAAAATTGTCTTTCCTTTCATGTTGCAGGACTACAAAAATCAGCAGGAAGTAAACACAAACTATTACTAAATCTAGCCAAAGCATGAATGCACTGTGTTGGGTAAAATACAAAATAAATAGTCATACTTTTTTTTTTACCTACCCACATATTTGTAGACTCACCAAGATACAGAATACAGTTAAGTAGTGACAAGTATCTACACTTACTATTCCTATGCTAGCTAGGTTGATGTCTGGTTTAAAAATGAGAAAAATCTGATTTTGTTCCAAACAAGATTATCTAACAGTTTAATTTCTTTTTGAAAACATTTATTTATTTTTATTGGGAAGTCAGATTTACAGAGAGAAGGAAACACAGATCTTCTAGCTGTTGGTTTACTCTCCAAGCGGCCTCAATGGCCAGAACTAAGCTGATTCAAAGCCAGGTGCCAGAACCTTCTTGTGGACCCTTCCACACTGGTGCAGGGTCCCAAGGCTTTGGTCTGTCCTCTACTGCTTTCCCGAGCCACACACAGAGAGCTGGAAGGGAAGTGGAGCAGCTGGGATACGAACCAGCACCCAAATGGGAAATTCCTGTGCATGCAAGGTAAAGGCTTCAGCCACTAAGCTATTGCACTGGGCCCCTAACAGTTTAGTTTCTTAACGGTTCCCCTATTGATTATTTCTGAATGACTGCTAGCACATGAACTTTTTTTTTCCACTTCAGAATTGCTACTTTCATATAACTATGGTCATAAAATACAATAAATACTAAAGTCGAGGTATAAGGAAAACATAATTTCTCAGTATAATCTGATCACTTTAGCATTAGCCATACAGATTCTTGGAAAGAACAGAATTTCAGTGCAGGATACTGCCAGGTATCGTGTGTGTGTGTGTGTGTGTGTGTGTGTTTGCCTTCTCATCCAGTCATTTTATGTCTTCTGATAAGGAAGTGTTATTCATGTAGACTTAAAGAATCACTGCTGGGAAAGTATTTATTATTTCTAGTTGATTTTTTTTATTTGGTTGGTAGCATTTTTGTGACTTTCCAGCGTGGCCTTTCACTCCTTTTTCATTTTTTCTTACATGCTTCTTCTCTAGATACTTTGTGTCATGAGACTTACATGAAAATATGTAACATTTAAGCTGTTCACTTCATTTTTCTTTTCCTTCTCCGTTCCCTTGCATTTCTTTTACTGACATCACAAATTGAAATCTTTTATGGTTACATTATTTTTTATACCTAATTCTAACCTGAACTGTGTATCCACCATCATTACAATGCCCTGTATCTGTCAATATATTTTATCTTTACTTGCTATATATTTCATTTTTACCTGCAATATATTTATCTTCGCTTCCCTGTCTCTTGTTTCATAATTCTGTTACAACTTGACGGATGCCTTGTAAGGCAAGTTCAGCAGAGATGAACTCCTCAGCTCTTGTTCATCACAGAAATATTTTTCCTTTATTACTGAAGGTCAGTTTTGATGGATAGAGTATCCATTTTTTTAAAAAGATTAAAAAAATTTTTTTTGGAAAGCCAGATGTACAGAGAGGAGGAGAGACAGAGAGGAAGATCCTCTGTCTGTTGATTCACTCCCCAAGTGGCAGCAATGGCTGGTGCTGAGCTGATCTGAAGCCAGGAGCCAGGAACCTCCTCCAGGTCTTTTCCATGCTGGTGCAGGGTCCCAAGGCTTTGAGGCTGTCCTCGACTGTTTTCCCAGGCCACAAGCAGGGAGCTGGATGGGAAGCATGGCTACTGGGATTAGAACTGGCACCCCCAAAAGGGATCCTGGAGCATGCAAGGCGAGGAATTTAGCCTCTAGGTTACTGCATCAGGCCCTGATGGAGTATTCTTATTAGCACTTTTTCCTCACAACTCTGAATATATCCTCCCATTTACCTTCAGATTTGCAAGTCTGCTGAGTAATCTGATCATCTTAAGAGCATGCCAACTGAACGCAGAATTGCTTGCTGCTTGCATGACTTCACAACGTGACTATTAAGTGTTCTGTGTGGTCCATTTCACTTCTTGAATTTGAAACCCTCTTTTCTTAACCAGATTTGGGAAGTTTGGGACCACTGTTTTCTCAAATATGCTTTCTATGCTGTTTTCTATTCTCTGCCTAAATAACCTCTGTAATACATGTGCTGGCCTGCTTCAGAGTATCCTCACACTCCCTTAGGCTTTCTTCACTGCTTCTCATTCTCATTTTACTTTTCTCACTATACAATTTCAAATGGCCTGTATTCAAGTCCTGATTCCGCCTTCTGTTCAATCAAGTCTGCTGTTGAAACTTCCCTATAACATTTTTCAATTTAGCTACTATATTCTTTACTTCCAACACTTCCATTTGTTTCATTTTACTCTTTTCTATTTCTTTGTTGCTACTCCTGCTTTGTTTATGTATCATTTTCCTGGGCTCACTGATAACCTTCATGACATTTAAGTTCCCAAGCAATTCATATCTCTCTGGATCCTTAGGGTTAGTTTATTAAGGTTTATTTTCTGCCTTGATTGGTTCATGCTCATTTGTTTCTTTTTGTGCCTTGATACTTGTCATCTGCACATTGAGAAAAAGTCTGCTCTTTCCAGTCTCTTCAAACTGGCTTAATATGGAAAGGTCTCTGTCAGTCTGTCATACTAGGGATTTGGGCGATTTCTCAAGCATCTGTGGATGAGCCTTCTGCAGACTTGTGGCTAAGTTCTATCCAGGAGCTCATAATCCCGTGCTCCCTCTTCTGTATATGATACTACAGATCCTCTGGAGGTGTTTATAAGACGTCCAGCTCAAATTTGCTCTGATCATTCTCCCATTCTCCAACTGTCAAGCACAATTTAGGTCTCATGAATACACAGAAGAAAATTATTCCTTGGGCAACCCCAAGAAAAGGTGGGTTGTCATACACTGGCTCTGCCTTTCTTGTAATCCTTGAAGGAAAAGCCACTGAACTGTAACCATCTCTGTATCCACAGGGCCTCTGTAGCAGTTTCTGGAAACTCAACAATTTTTTTGTTTTTTGTCTTCCCAGTACCCATCCAGCTAGAATATGCTGAGTCTAATTACAACCCCATGTCAGCAAGACAGAAAGCAGTGTGTGATGCAGTTCTCTAAACAACCAGAATGTTAGATACATACTCCAATTATTTCATTCCCCAGGGTCTATCCCAAAATTGGGGGTTTACTCTCACTTTCTCTGTACTGAGCTGGGAAGGACTAAATGGGTTCATGAGAGTTCAAATCACAAGCTTTACTCCCAGGGGCCACCAATCTGGCATCCTTTCCAGTTCAACTGAGATTTAGACTTAACAGAAACCAGTCCCTCCCAAATACCCTAAAGAGTTTGAATATCAGGGCCTGGAGCAGTAGCCTAGCAACTAAAGTTCTTTCCTTGCACATGCCAGGATACAACGGTCCTGCTTCCCATCTAGCTCCCTGCTTGTGGCCTGGGAAAGCAGTCAAGGATGGCCCAATGCCTTGGGTCCCTGTGCCTGTGTGGGAGACCCAGATGAGGCTCCAGGTTCCTGGCTTCAGATCGGTGCAGCACCAACCCTAGCAGCCACTTGGGGAGGATCTTCCTTTCTGTCTCTATCTAATTGATTTTCCAATAGAAAAAGTCTGTATATTAGACACAGGTTCCAGTCCTCTCCCTAGAGGTGTTGAGAGGTTTTTGGTTTTTTTTTTCTAAATCACCATCTTGTGCTAGAGTCAGGGCTCCAGTGAGTAAATGTCATACACTTTCCTATCAGCGTCAGTGTGATTGTCAGGAACGTAGAAGTCTATTAAGGGACTTCTGGAATCTCATGAAGGGATTATGTATCTCTGTGTTACTGTTCATCGATGGGGCAGTTTGGCAGTTTGACTAGGTATTTCCTTCAGTTTCTGAAAGACAAAAGCTACCCATCTGTGGAGACAGAAGTCAACCATGTTCCTGTTCAGCAGGTGGTCAGTTCACTTAGCCCAGGTGACAAAATAAGAGTAGCAACCAAGTCCAGCGTGGCTTCTCCTTTATAGGGAGGCATTGCTGCATCAATTACAATGAAAAGAATAAAGAATGATGAACAAGTATTTAAAAAAGAGAAAGAAGAATTATAGATTATAAAACATGTTTCTTCAAACCAGATATGCAAAATTAAACATAGGAAATCAACAGGTAAGACTTACGGATAGACCAAGCAAAGGTTCAGCCAGCTGAAAACACATGACACAAGACTTTGGTATATACTAAGAACTCTGTGAAAGTGAACAGAGTGTGGGTGAACGAGAGAATGAGGACAAAGTGTTAGGAGCATCATGGAAAAAAAGAAAAAGGAAACCTGAGGACTGAAAGATAAGAAAGAAATGCTCTCTGGGCTCCATAGCTTCTACCCAAGTCTCAGCCAACCTGGCAAGGCAGCGCAGGCTGGAGTACGCAAAGTTCCCTTCAATGAAAACACTTTTGTCAAACCACAAATATTGAGATGGGAATTGAAGGTGAATGAATGTGTGTCCCTGGAGAGTTGTGAAGCTCACAAATCGTGGATTTCTTGTTCTTCTTTTCTTTATATGAATGTTAGTAAGGAGAAAAAGAAAATGAGAGTGAGGAAAACAGCAAAGGAAAGATTTGGAAAACGACAAAAGAATATTTTAGAAGGTACTCAACTAGTTATCTTACCCACAACCAATGCTTTGTGGGTTTTTTTTTTGTGTGTGTGTGGATTTTTTTTTTTAAATTACATTGTACTATGTGACACAGTTCCATAGGTACTGGGATTCCCCCCACCCCTCCGCAAGCCCTCTCCCCATGGTGGATTCCTCCACCTAGCTGCATTGCCACTGTTCAAGTAATGCTTTGTTTTTAAATGGTTAAGGTCATTGTAACATTTCAAGTAATCAGAACCAAACTGATTGTACTCTAAATATTGTTAATAGGCTAACTTCAAGATAAAGTGATTTCAAGTTTCTCTTGGAAGACAAAGATCATTTGACAAGAAGATAACATTGCATATTTATTATCCCAAATCTGACTTCTGCAGTAGATTTGGATTTGAATGGAATCAAACTCAGTCATACGGGATTTTGGAAAGTTATACTTTCATATTTCTGTATTTATATATTGATTACTGTGGACTACTGATCACAATAATTACCTGGAAAATTTTAGAATCCTTACTTGTCCAAACTGGCCAGCTATTTAATATTTTGGCCTTTTTACTGCAGGGAATACAACTAATACTTCTTTTTTAAATCCATACAATTTTTTTTAATATTTATTTTTATTGGAAAGCCAGATATACAGAGAGGAGGAGAAACAGAGAGGAAGATCTTCCATCCGATGATTCACTCCTCAAGTGACATCAACGGCCGATGCTATGCGGATCCCAAGCCAGGATCCAGGAACTTCTTCCAGGTCTCCCACACAGGTGCAGGGTCTCAATGCCTTGGGCTGTCCTCGACTGTTTTCCCAGGCCACAAGCAGGGAGCTAGGTGGGAAGTGGAACCACCAGGATTAGAACTGGCGCCCATATGGGATCCTGGGGCATTCAAGGTGAGGACTTTAGCCGCTAGGTCACGCTGCTGGGCCCCAATCCTTACAATTTTACATATAAAATTTCTATCAAACCAACAACTGCCTTATGCATTTAACAAAACAACAGCTCGGTATTTAAGCATTCTATTTGTTACTCTAAGCTATTTCAATTATTTTTTTAAGAAGTTGGTTGAGGTCAAAAGTTCTCAACAACATAATTTCTACGTAGAAAGATGAAAAGCTACAGGACCATAATAGCCACAAACACAAGAGAACTTCCACCCAAGCTTCAACTTTTGCATGTTGCATGTTCAGGGTCCCTTTGCCAATCATGGAAAAGGATTGGCTTCACAATGTGGAGAACTACTTGCCAAGTATGAGGAGACCAGCCTTCTATTTCTAGCCCAGTGTTGAAAAGTGATCAGTGTATAAGGTGCAAAAAACAAATCCTCTTTTGCAACCCAGAACACGTTGATCAGTATGAGTTTTGATACATATAAGCAGGAATAGGACATCTCTTATCAAAGTGATCCGCGGTAGTAACTAAGTATTGGCTCTGTGATTAAAATTTTCATTTTTAAAACATGCTTTTAAAAAAAAAGAAAAGAAAAGAAAAGTGATCAGTGAATCCAATTCAACTGTCCTTGCAAATGTGCAAACTCCTGTGTCTATTGCAAAGGACATAAAGACTACATTCGAATATGTGTAAGTACACACACATATAGACATTCTTGCTCCACGGGCATTCAAAGACTACTACTGTATAAGAGAAATATATAGGGACAGATGTGGTAGCATAACATGCTAACCTTCCGCCCACAGCGCCAACATCCCATATTGGTGCCAGTTTGTGTCTTAGCTGCTCCACTTCTGATCCAACTCTTTGTTTATAACCTGGAAAAGCATCACAGAATGGTCCCAGGGATCTGGGCCTCTGCAAGTTTAAGAGACACCTGGAGGAAGTTTCAGGCTCCAAGCTTTAGACTGTCTCAGCTCTGGCACTTGTGGCCATTTAGGGAATGAACCAGTGAATGAAAGAGCTCTCTCTCTCCCCTCTCTAAATCTGCTTTTCACATTAAAAAAAAAAAAACTTTTGAAAAAAAAAAGCATAAGAAAAACATGCACAAAAATATAAACTCAAGGTAGTCATTTATAGGAATCAAAGTTTCCTACGTCTCAGAAAATTGCCATGATTCTGATTTATAAAAAAGGGATTTTTCAATGCAGTGGCTGTTTCTGACTGTCCTTCTCAGGTAATATAGGAATATCCCAAAAGGCCGCTAACATGTAGACCCCTTTTTCCTGACACAAAATCACAAACTTCACCTTCAGGAAGATGCTCCCTGACAGAGTTGGGAGATAAGCTTAGCTAACCGAGGACCCCAAAGACAGAGCATCCTGGGTTCTGGGGTTGTCCTCATCCTGCGAAGGGTCAGGAGACCCTTCAGGCCATCCAGAACCATGGGGAGCCAACGGCAGCAACTGGGGCTTTCACAAGCCAGCAGCCTGTAAGCTCAGTTCACCACACTTAACTTTTGGACACTGGTAAGATTCCTGACTTTACTAGTCCACAGCTTCATCATATGAGTGTCAAATGATTTCCCATGTTTATGTGGAGCCAACAGGCAGAATTTATATCCTGGATGCCCAATATGACTTTATTCCATGTAAATTCTTGGAAAAGAATGCCTATTTCAGGCTATTCAGGGAAGATATTTCAGAAAACATTTACTGGAGAGTGAGAATATTTGTAGAATTTCACATACACTGGTTGAACTGGATTTTGAAACCATTTAACCCTTAGCACTAAACAAACCTCAAAGAATTGCCTAATTTAGCCCTCTGACTTTGAGTTGGCCAAGAGGCCCACCGACTTAGGTATGAACCTTTCTTTAGAAGAATGTTCACACTTCGAGAGATTACTAAGATTGCATTCATATAATTCACACATATTTATAGTGATTTCTATCATCAAACTAAACATAGTCCCAATGCAGCTAATTTTAAAGACAAACTAAACACATTTCTCATGCTATGACCCTTCCACATACCCACTTGTCATTCTTTGTCCTCATGTGCATATTATTTGATTTGTAATCACCCTCAAGCTCATTTTCTAGTATTAAGTAATTTTTGGCACTGAAATGTTTTAGTTTACATATGACCCAAATTCCTTAAGCTCCCATTTTGAACAATTTTTTTTTTTTTTTGTGCTCTCAGGGAAGGCAGACAACAGCTGGCCACCATCCCCTACACCAGGCTCCTTCATAAACCTCCAGACCATCCATTTTTAACAAGAGATGCTTTATATAAAATCCTTAAAAAATCTGTTTTGAGGAATGTTACCTGGCCCGTGGTTTTATCTTGGTCCTATCTGAAACCGGCTGAACTTGGCAGTGCACGGCCTTCTCCGAGGTATAATTACAGTCTGAAGGAGAATGCAATTTGTGCAGCATTCCACTGACCTACAAGCTGACCTTGCACAGGGGCAAATTTACAGGTTGCGTTAAGCCCTATTAGACATGCCTAGTTTAAGGCAAAGCCTTTCCAGACCCCTGCCACATGCCAGGATTAGGGCATTTCACACATGCGTACCATTACTTGCCTAAGGAACTCTCTCAGGGACTTCCAGAGGGAGGAAAGGCAGGTCCACAACCCATACTCTCCAAACCTATACCTTGAGTCAGGACATACAAATTATTATTATTATCCACTTATGTTGATTTAAAAAAAAAAATCTGCCTCTCTAAATCAGAATTAAGACAAAACTGAGAAGACAGATTTGCTCCACCGGAAAAACCACACCCTGACCAGTCAACTAGAAAAAGTCTTGCCAGACAGACTGAGCAAGAATTCTTGCCAGGCCCAGTGAGATTTCTGCATATACAAAATAGCCATATATATCTTCAGCTTTCTGGCTGAGTTGGAAGATGACGCCAGAGCAGCAAATAAAAATTAACGGTTCTGTATATGCATGTTGGAAGCATGCTCTGCCTGGCGAGCTTGATACAGCCACAAAATGAAGAGAAATACAGATGCCTCCTTCTTCCATGCATCCTTCCCCGTCTGCAACAATGCTGATTAATTTCTTAAAGATTTTATTTATTTTACTGAAAAGGCATATCAGATTTTTACAGACAAGGAGAGACAGAGAGAAACATCTTCCATCTATTGGTTGAATCCCCAAGTGGCTTCTAGTGGCCATAGCTGAGCAGATTCAAAGCCAGGAGCATGGAGTGTCTTTGGGTACAGGGTCCCAAGGCTTTGGGCTATTTTCTACTGCTTTCCCAAGCCACAAGCAGGCTGCTGAATGAGAGGTGGAACAGCCAGGACATGAACTGACACCTTTATGGAATCCCAGCACTTACAAGGTGAGGATTTAGCCATTGAGCCAAGACGTCAGACCCAAACTTGCTTAATTCCACAGCTACAACTTTTTTGACCACTTAATACATTCAAATTTATCCCAGATATAAACTTTGCATTTTTTATCTTAGTTCTCATATTTAAATTTTCAGCTCCAGACCTGGATTTTCCATCACTGGCAAAGTCTGAGGAGTAGGCACCATGTCTATTTAACTGTAGCCATGGGTGTTACCATCCAGAACCACCTTACGGTCACATCAAGCAAATGAGTACAAGTGAAAGTTGCTAACTTTTCTCTCCAAATCAACTGTCCAGGCCTCACCAAACACAAATAACTGAAGGAGCCACATGTGTGGCTATTCATATTTAACACTAACGACACACATGCAATTTCCACACCACTGTACTTTCTACTATATGCAACAACCACGTGCAAGGTTTGCCTAAGACAGAACAGAATGGAGAATACACAGAAAACAGACAATAGGACTATTCTACAAATCTACAAATGTTGAATTCTCTAATTCTACAACAGGATCATAATACAATTCTACAAAGCAAAACTCCAAAAACCACAACTATTACTGGTGTGCCTTCAGACTGATGGCATATTTTGCTTATATTTCACATCAATACTCACTTCCACTACATGGCAAAATCATACAGTTGGTATAAAGCACCTGAACTTCTGATCACAGGTCAGCTTGTGTTATTATCAGCAATCCTTCACATTGCTAAATCATAGGCTTTCAAATGGACCCAGGGACTTTCTGAATGGCTGCTGCACTCACCATTAGATATTCTTGAGTACTGAGTTGAAAGGCAGGTAGAATCCTCTGTTGGAAATACAGAAATTGATGTACCTATCCAAAGGGCTATTTGCTTGATGCTGGAGCTGACACTTTACTCAGGATGTTTTCTAATCATAAATGTAAATTGCACAGATTCTAAGTAGTTACCTGGATTAGAGAATAACTTTGGGGGATAAGTGGCAGAATATCAGGAAAGCCTTCAATTTAATTCTCATTCTCACTTTACTACCATGTTGTTCACATATCCTTAAATTGAAAATTCTTCTAAGCGCAGTTATTTCTCCATGTCTGTAGGTTTTGTACTCAGGGATTCAACCAACTGTCATTGAAAATACTTGAAACACACTGTGTGCACGAGACCCACGTTTTTTAGCTTCCATGGAGGTGAGGTCATGCAATATTTGTCTTTCTGTGCTAGAGTTGTCTCACTTAATGAGTCCCCAGGACATCCTTTTTAATGGTAGAACAGTATTCCACAGTATATATGCACCAATGACATGTTCTTATCAAGCCATCAGTTGACAGACACGTTACTTCCATGTCTTTGTTATTGAGAATGGTCATGCAGTAAGTAGGGAAGTGCAGATGTACTTTAGACATACTGATTTCATTTTCTACAGATATACACCTCGTAGCAGAACCTGAGAGTAGAATGATGGTTACCAGAGACTAGAAAGAACAGTGAATGAGGATTGCCCGAGGGAAAAGTTAATTTGAACAGTTAGAGTTAGACAGCAGTAGAAAATGTTTATATCCTACTGCATGTAGGGCAACTACAGATAATAATGTGTTAAAATTTTTCCTAAAAAAAGAAATATTTGAGTGTTTTCACAATAAAGAAATGATAACCATTTGAGTAGATTATAGATGCCCTGTTTTGAATACTACACAATTTATACATGTATTAAAATACCATATAGCATCTCATAAATACAATTTTGTGTACCAGTTAAAATTCAGTAATTCATGGGACCAGTGTTGTGGCATAGTGGGTTAAGTGACTACCTGCAATGCTGGCATCCCATGAATGCCAGTCTGACTCCCAGCTATGTACCTGAGAAAGCAGCAGGAAATGACACAAGTACTTAGGCCTCTGCAACCTACGTGGGAGACCCTGATGGAGTTATAGGCGCCTGGCTTTTGCCTGGCCTGCCTCTAGCCACTGCAGCCATGTGAGGCATAAACCAGCAGATGGAATATCACCCAACCACACACACACTCTCTCTCTCTCACTCACACACACACACACAGCTATTCAAAGAAAAAATAAAGCTTTCATATATTCACTCAAAATATAGATAAAAAGAACTGCATCAGTACTGAGGTACCAATA